AGAGGGGGAAGGGTCAGAGGGAGAAGCAGACTCCCTGCCGAGCAGGGAGCCTGATGCGGGACTCGATCCAGGGACTCCAGGATCATGACCTGAGCCGAAGGCAGTTGCTTAACCAACTGAGCCACCCAGGCGCCCTATTTTAATAAATATTTTTAACACTTACTGTATAATCCTTTCCCCTTTTTCTCTCCAGCTCCCCCTATTTAAACTAAAATAAATGTCTTTTTCAAAAAAATGTTCTCTGTTAAGGAAAGGAGCATTCAGAAGTAGTCTTGTCAATATTAAGTATCCATGACTTTCTCTCAACCTTTTAACAACACCATGGTGGCCATAATCTGGGCAAACATTCTAGAGCCAAATGATTAATGCGTATTGGTCCATGCTGGTCAATAGAAACAACAGTTCGAAATATCTCACATTCCCAGTATTCATTAAGGCAAAAGTAACCATCACAGGGTCAGAAAGAGTGAATAAAATAAACAGAAGACTTAAGACTATGAAGGTAGAGAAAAGGGGAAGGAAAAGGTCTGATTGCTGATCACATTCACATTTTGGGTATTTGGGGCTGCAGATTACTTCAGATTTCCAAGCAACCCAGAAAATTACCTACCGAATTTCTGGAATGGGAATTGATCAACCCCCTTTTGGAATCTTTGTTGTTGACAAAAACACTGGAGAAATTAACATAACAGCCATAGTTGATCGTGAGGAAACTCCAAGCTTCCTGGTAAGTTTGTGTCCTCACGATTGGGCACCCTTGTTTGTGCCCGGTGGCTTTATAATGTGATACTCTTCTACTGGTTATTTTAGAAGAAAGATCAGTGCACGAATCAATCCACCAATAAATAACAATTTTCATCACTCTTTTAAAGAGCCTTCACTCACAGTTGTGCCCCTGAAGGAATATACCAGGAGGGTGCAGGAGTACGCATTGAAATCCAACATGCATCCTGCAAAGAGCATCACCCTCTTTGTACCATAAGACAGTACCAGCCTGGAAGAAGGGGCAGCTTGCCTAACAGGCCTGCCCAGTGTGGGCACCTTTTCTTCCTTTATCTACTTTTTGGGGAAACATTTTCCTTCTGTGCACAAAAAGTCTGTACATGCTAGTAGAGCTTTATTTCTACAAGTTTTAGTAGTATGCAAATTGAGTTTGTAGAGTAATAAGTAACAATTCCCTCCTTTTTCTAGATCACGTGTTATGCTCTAAATGCCCTAGGACAGAATGTAGAGAAACCACTTGTATTAACAGTTAAAATTTTAGATGTCAATGACAATCCTCCAGTATTTTCACAAAGTATATTCATGGGTGAAATTGAAGAAAATAGTGCTTCAAGTAAGTCTTTTACATTATCTACCACTTCTAGTTTTTTTTAATTTTAAAATACAGGTATCACTATAGTATATCATTTTTATAAGCTAATTTATTCTCCTAGTTTTATCAGTAGTTTTGCAGAAAAATTCATCCAAATATCCTGGGTCTTCCTTTCTAATATTTGTACTTGAGCTAATTATCCGCTGCCACTGTATTTCTAGGTCGTGGTCCTGTTATCAAGTCAATAGTATCTTACTCTCTATATGTAAGTCACATGAGTACCTGGTAGTCATAAAACTAAAGGAGTGGCCTTAGGTAGCCTGGATGCATCAGCTAGACTTTTTTAGATTATAAAGGACAGAGACGCACTCAATTACTTAGATAATTTGGGGAAAGGGGAGAGTGACAATGCCACCCATCAAGGGAAGAAATAAAGACAGAAAATAGTCTCAACTCCAACACAACCAAGGCTTAAGGACAACAGAAAGATTTTTACAGAAGGCAGCACAGTTCCACCTGATTAAGAGAGACAGTAAGAGATACTGCAAATGACATGTAATTTGTTTTTGTGCATAACAGATTTAAGATTTTAAAAAATAAAGGTCAATTTGAAATTGTGTTGAATATTTAATGTGAAAAGAATGTCAATTCTTACATATTCTTTAATGAGCTTCTTCTGTATTCCTAGATTCACTGGTGATGATATTAAATGCCACAGACGCAGATGAACCAAACCACTTGAACTCTAAAATTGCCTTCAAAATCGTCTCTCAGGAACCTGCAGGCACACCCATGTTCCTCCTAAGCAGACACACTGGGGAAGTCCGTACTTTAACCAATTCTCTTGATCGAGAGGTAAAGCAAGGCACTTGGGCACACTCAATAATAAGGTCTGATTGTAAGAAAGCCAAGAGAGGTGACCCCATTTTACCTGAGAATGAAAGGAGAAAGGAAAAGAAGTTCTCCATACTCAACTGGGCCAATCTAGGGAAATTGTTTGCATTTCAATATGGTTCTGGTGGGGTGAGATGTGTACCTAAGAACTGTACAATCAATTGTACCCTAAAAACAAGTATCAGCATATCAGTGGGAGGTCAAGTGGAAAGTAAAAGAAGGCATTGAGGCATACACAGACAAAGACTGAACTGTGACTAATTCCTTATTTGGTGGAGGAAAAGGAAATTTCTCAGACAATGGAAGAAATTTCTCCCTGGAATAAAGCCTTCTCTGATGTTACACTTTTTCTACTAACTAGTTTTAATGTCACCCTTGCTTCCAGAACACTAAAGAATCCTCTTTTTCTCTTCCCCATCGTCCTACCACCATAACCACCACCACCATTTTATCACCATACAATACCCTGTCAGACTTTATATTACTTCTATGCAAATGATTCTCCAAAAAGACCAATAGGAAAGCTCTGTAAGTAAACTTCCCTCAAATAAGCATCCCAGCATCTTCACTGCCCGTTTTTGCTCCAAGTGTACTTTCTTGCTCTAAGAAGTTCACAAAAAAGAAACCTGGTCTAGCCCCATAAAAACTTGTCCGACCATCCAGGACCCCAGATGCCTCCTCTAGGCTGGACAATGGAACAACTCATATGATCCTTCTAGAGAAGAATATTTTCACCTCTTCACCCATAGGAAGCAGGTAGTTGTTATTTGTATTCCTGGCACTGGAGATTAATTATTTTTCTTTATTTTTTCCCAAATTTAGCAAGTTAGCAGCTATCGTCTGGTTGTGAGTGGTGCCGACAAAGATGGAGAAGGACTATCAACTCAATGTGAATGTAGTATCAAAGTGAAAGATGTTAATGATAATTTCCCAATGTTCAGAGAATCTCAGGTATACCTTGCCCTCCTTGAAGAATAATTTATATATATATATATATATTTTTTTTTTTTTTTAGCTTATATTTTGCCATTCTAATTCAGTATTTGCCTGTTCCTGGCTTCTATTTAAGTTCTCTGTACTTTTCTTAAAAAAAATAAGCTTTTGTCAAATATAAGAATTTAGTAACCAGCAAGAGGCAACACATAATTTGAGAATTAATGGTTAATGCTATTCAGAATAAAATATAATCTCTTTAGATAAAACCTGACAATAACTCTCAAATTCTGCTTCTTTCCTTTTTAGTATTCAGCACATATTGAGGAAAATACTTTAAATTCTGAGTTGCTTCGATTTCAAGTTATAGATTGGGACGAAGAATTCACAGATAATTGGCTTGCAGTGTATTTCTTTACCTCTGGAAATGAAGGGAATTGGTTTGAAATACAAACTGATCCCAGAACTAATGAAGGCATCCTGAAGGTGGTTAAGGTAAAGCCTATTTCCCTTCCATGGTAAAAATATTCCATATTAGCCCAAACTATCATTTCTACAAATAAACTTTATTCACTTATTAATAATAATACCACTTCTTTACAGAAAACTTAGAAAATACATAGAAGTAGATAGAATTTTTTAAAGACACACACATAGCCCCACTACCTAAGGACAGCCTTTTTAAACATGTTGATTTATTTCCTTCCAAGCTACCCTACTTTCTATAGTAAACACAAATACACTAAAATACATATATTTATAGGTGTGCTTGCTTTAAGCACAAGAATGTAAAACACATTTCTTAATCTCATTTACTCCCTACAACTGAAGTTAGGAAAAGATAAAAATACATAATATTGCGGCTTGTGAATTTGTCAACTTGCTTTAAGTGAATTTAGTTACAGTCATAAGGGGGGGAATGCAACTTTTTGAAAATGGGAATGTATAATTAAATCTGCAATATAAGGGACGCCTGGGTGGCTCAGTTGTTAAGTGTCTGCCTTCGGCTCAGGTCATGATCCCAGGGTCCTGGGATCGAGCCCCGCATCGGGCTCCCTGCTCCGCAGGAAGCCTGCTTCTCCCTCTCCCACTCCCCCTGCTTGTGTTCCCTCTCTAGCTGTGTGTCTCTCTGTCAAATAAATAAATATCTTAAAAAAAAAAATCCGCAATATAAAAAACAGTAATTGAGTAATCCTTGCGTTTAACATGCATGGCTATAACAGACACCCCCCCATACACAGAATCCTATCTGGAATAACATGAGGATATTTCTGCCTGGACCCTGTATAGACTAGAAAAAATAACCACTATTTGAAGACATTCTTTGGCCCAGGACACTGGACTATACGTTACCTTCTTCCTTTATTTCTTTGAGTCCAGTAGAGTGACAGACCCATAATATCCCCTTAACAAGGAAATTGCTGGAATCCCCAATTGCTGGAGCTATGCGAGCAGTTCCTATTACTCTGCTTTTCAGAGAGAAGGCTATAACCATCACTCGCAAGGGTGTGTTATAAACTCCCAGCAATCCCCGAAAATGAAGCCTTCCCTCTCTCCTGTCTTGGTGTCATCTAGTCTTCCAAACTAGCAACCTGGGCCTTATCCTTCAATCATAACATTTCCTCACAACAGTCATCCAATTCTGCCCTGGAAACTGTTCTTAAAGTCTGGCCCTGGTCTTCCTTCCTCTGGCCTGTGATCTACTGGGCCTTGCCTCCTTGCTCCTAGATGACTATAATCCCCTCCTGATGGCTGTCCTTACCTCCTCTTTCTACTTCCCTACAACCTCCTACTGCCACCAGACTACTGCCATGTTTTTCTTAAAACCAGTGTGGATTATTCTGTTCTTTAAAACCTTTCCTTGTTCTCCATTGGCTGTGAAAGTGGCCCTCCAGTCTTATTGCTCATTTGCATCCCCAGCAACTTTTCCTCACCAGTGGGAATATAGGAACTATTGGTTCAGTTGGTCTGTGGGGAAGTCCAGGCAATGGCAGGTCTTAATGGCTCCACAGAGAGCTCTAATTGCAGCCAGGATTGATGACCAGCTGCTGGCCTTGAAGATGACCTTCAGTCTCCTCAGAACTATAGACTAGGCCTCTCACCATCTGCAGCCAGCGCCCTGTCACCTTCTGTAACTCTGGGCATTTGCAAATGTTTCACCTTTGCCTGAAAAACTCTCTCATCCTTCGACACTCAGCTCACTTGAAAGCTCTCAGAAGGTTTCCTATATACTATGGGACTAAATTTGTGCAGTCCTCACCATGATCTGATGAGGTAAAGTTTTGTGGTTTTTTTCAGAAGTGAAAATTTGAGAATCAGAGAAATTAAATATTGTGCCATGAGTCACACAAGCTACTAGGCAGCAGAACCAGGATTCAAGCCACACTACCATAGCAAACTTGGGATTCTTTCCATTGTACCATACAGCCTAAAGACACTATAATGATGTTTTAGTAGTCTAAAGAGAGGTCTGCTCTTTTGTAAATATCGGTTACCAAGCTGAGGTCTTTTTTTTTTTTTATTTGACGGAGAGAGACAGCCAGAGAGGGAACACAAGCAGGGGGAGTGGGAGAGAGAGAAGCAGACTCCCCACTGAACAGGGAGCCCGATGCGGGACCTGATCCCAGGACCCTGGGATTATGACCTGAGCCGAAGGCAGACGCTTAACGACTGAGCCACCCAGGCGCCCCCCAAGCTGAGGTCTTATGAGTTAAGAATTTTAATGGTTTCCCACCTCATCATTACAATGATTTCTGAAGCCGTCTTGCTATATAGAAATAAAAGAGGCATGGGACATAGAGTTCTCTTGTCCTGTTCTGGGTTTGCTGGATTGTATCTCTGTGATACTTCTTTCCTTCCAATTTTATTTTATTTTTTTACTCTAGGCTCTAGATTATGAACAACTACAAAATGTACAACTTGGTATTGCTGTCAAAAACAAAGCTGAATTTCACCAATCAGTAATTTCTCAGTATCGAGTGCAGTCAACCCCAGTCACGATTCAAGTAGTCAACGTGAGAGAAGGAATTGCATTCCGTCCTGCTTCCAAGACATTTATTGTGCAGAAAGGCATAAGTAGTAAAAAACTGGTCAATTATGTTCTGGGAACATATCCAGCTATTGATGAGGATACTAAAAAAGCTGCCTCATATGTCAAGTAAGACTGTTTTTATATTATTCCTTGATGTGGTTTTAATTTATAAGCTACTACAAAATAATACCTAAACTATTATATGCCAAGAATACAAAGAGACACAAAGTGGCCAACTCAAGGAACTGTCTAACTCAATAAGAGATTTATAGCCAAATCATTGGAACATATTGGGCTATGAGCGAAGATAACATAAGCATAAGTTAAAGTGGAAACTAAGAGAAGAATGCCTTAGCCTATGGAGAGAAATCAGGAAAAGATCTCACAGAAACTTTCAGTTGAGTTTAAAAAGAGTAGTTCAGCAGAAGACCAATCAGATAAGACAGCACATACAAAACATATATGCCCCAAAATATAAGAACACCATGCAATGTAGATGCTGTAAGAGCAAGAAAACAATTATTTTATTGTGCAAAGTAGAAAATTGAAAAAGCAGGCTAATACTTAAGGACTATGAAATACTGCTTGTCTGTGCTAATATGCTAATTTTTTACCATTGTTTATAAGAGTATATTTTGATGTCTTAAATTAACTATAAATACATTAAATATAAAATGAGTTATTTTCATTAAATAGGTAAACATTCCATATTTGAAAGAAAATTTTATTTTTTCTGTCATAAAACAGGTATATCATGGGACGTAATGATGGTGGTTTACTATTCATTGATTCAAAAACTGCTCAAATCAAATTTGTCAAAAACATCGATTGGGATTTTACTTTCATATTTAACAAGACAATCACAGCTGAGGTTCTGGCCATAGATGGTAAGAAAAATATTTCAAAATGGGGGTCTGGCTGGCTCACTCAGTAGAGCATGCAACTCTTGATCTTGGGTCCGTGAGTTCGAGTCCCACACTGGGCACAGAGATTACTTAAAAAATAAAAATCTTAGGGGTGCCTGGGTGGCTCAGTCGGTTGGGCATCTGCTTTCGGTTCAGGTCATCATCCCAGGTCCTGGGATCAAGCCCCGAACTGGGATCCCTGCAGGGAGGAGCCTGCTTCTCCCTCTACCTCTGCCTGTCACTCCCCTTGCTTGTTCTTTCTCTCTCAAATTAATTAATTAATTAATTAATTAATTAATAAAAATCTTTAAAAAATATATTTCAATCATTTTTAGAGAAATGTTAACTCCAATTGGCATTTTTTTATGAATAGATTCTGATTATTTAACATATTACCTTTATCACTACATAAAGTTACTTACTTGGGGCCTTGGGTCTCAAATCTGAGGCAGCTGAACCCAGAAGACTGAGCATTCCAACTTCTCATGGAGTTTTTAGTACCAGTGAATTCTGTGTTCAGTCCCTGTGGTCTGCTGTGTTGAGGCAGAAATTTTGAGACCCACAGGAATTTCTGTGTTTGAGAGGATGGATAAAAATTGATACAGAAGGCCTGTCAGGAAAGCTCAACTCAAATGCGAGGTGCCTTGGTGAGTTACTTATAAAGTGAGTCACTTACAGAGACCTCATGCGACCAGATCATTGAACAATAAAATCTTTTGGAATGTTTCAAAAATAATATTCTTTGGATGCTTTGTGTTTCATCAAGTATAAATTAATTTATGCTCAGGCAATAAGTAAACAAGAAAATAAAACAAAAGAATAAACACCAAAAATCGTATCACCCGGGAGAAGAGCAAAAAGCACTAAGGGAAACAACAGAAAGTATTCATAATCCTACCATAGAGAAATTTTTGCTTTATTTCTTTATTGTTTTTGATTGTCAACATTGAAAAAATTTTCTTCAGTAAACTTTTGTATCTTGGATAGTAAAAATCAATCATTGTTTATTCCAAATACTTCGGCTCAAGCTTTAGAAGCAAAAATCTTTCACACAGTGCTGGGTTCATATAGTAGGATACATTTAAGAAAACTATTGTTTTTATGTTGATTTCATTTGTAATCAGTGAATTCATCACCTTACAGGTCTTGGTTCCAAGCATATTAAACTAATAGCTAATGCTACTAATTATAGACACCAGCCAAGTTGGCAAATTTAAATTTGCTTTTTACAAGATGTGGAAATTAAATGACATCTTTTTACTTGTAAGAATAACGAATATAATTTCTCATGAGAAGACACACTAAGTTGGCTGTATGAAAGAGATTTTTTTTTTTTTAAGATTTTATTTATTTATTTGACAGAGACACAGTGAGAGAGGAAACACAAGCAGGGAAGGTGGGAGAGGGAGAAGCAGGCTTCCAGGGGAGCAGGGAGCCTAATGGCGGGGCTTGATCCCAGGACCCTGGGATCATGACCTGAGCCAAAGGCAGACACTTAATGACTGAGCCACCCAGGCGCCCCATGCAAGAGACATTTAAAAGGTTTTGGGGGGGGGGGGTTACAACATATTCTGTGTATTTCTTTAATTCTAAAATGTTATTCTTACAGAAAACACAGGTAAAACTTCTACAGGCACCATATATGTTAAAGTACCTGGTTTTAATGAAAATTGTCCAACAATCGTCCTTGAAAAGAAAACAATTTGTAGTTCACAGCCTTCTGTGGTAGTCTCAGCTAGAGCACTAGACAATAAATATACTGGCCCCTACACATTTTCTCTGGAGGCACAACCACTAAAATTACCAGTTGTGTGGAGTATCACAACACTCAATGGTGAGTAATGGTAAACTTGCTTCCGTAAATGAAAAAGTTGCTGCTTCTTTATATTTCCAGAGGGATAAAAGGGCTCATTTGGGAACAAGTCTCTTCCAAGAATAACTGAAAAAACTCTTTAAAGGCAATGAAGATGCGGTCCTAGCCTCATGAATTTCTTCTCTCTTCAGAAGAGGAATGATACGATATGTTTGTACTATTTAATATTTTGTTTTTTATGTGCAATCTAATTGTTTTGTATTTTTAATGTCTTATTTCTACCTCCACACACACCATAAAAAGAATAGAGTCAGCCATCAATTCTATTGCAGAGCTGTTTAAATTTCTAAATATATAAACTTTTCCTAACTGGGCAGACTGTGAACAGATATGAAGTACTGGATGGGTTGCCCGTTCAAGGCTCATAGAAGTGGTACTTAATCTGTCACTAGTTAGGAATCTTGACAGCATGGTGGACTAAAATTCCCATTAGCTCATTAGCCAGTGGGAAAGAGTTCATCCATCCTTCCTTTTCTTCTAACCTTTATCATGCTAATTTTACATTTTTAATGTTTTCTAGTAGTCTCCTAGAAATAACCATTGGACTTAATAAGAATCTTCTCACTTTTCTCTGGTTCTTTGCTGAACCAATCTTGCTTCCCTCCATGAATGTGCTCTATGGTTCTCTAGTCATAGGTATCGGCCATTGCTAGAATCACCAAAGGGATCTTGTCCTCCATGGCCTTCTTTCCGAGGGCCTTATTGATCTTGGTGTAAGTCCCTAGTTCCAAAGTACTCATGTAGCTTTTGGATCCAAATGGGTTTACCAGCACATGGACAATGAAAAGTTTGCAAAAGAAACATCAGAGAGAGACAGGACCCAGCACTAGACATACCTGCTTGAGTGAGGCTGGACAAGGCAACAGTGGTTGGACTGAGTGGATCAGGCATAATATCAAAGGGCAGGGTCAAGAGTGATACAGTTGACACAACTCTGCAGCTTACAAGAGCTGCTACTGGAGTCCACTTAAAAAGGGACAACATAGCAATGGAGAATGATCAATGTTCGTGAGTTAGATAGGCAACAGGCCCTCACCTCAGAGAATCCCATACAACTGGCTTTTGGGCACATGGAATGAATGCTATCAGCAACAGCTGAGGTAGTGGAAGCCAAAGCAGAAATTCAGTCTTGATAAGTCAGGCAAAAAGCATGGATTCAGAGGGAAGGCATACGTCCAGAGGGCCACACGAGAGTCCAGGGAGTTGGTGCAGACATAGAGGAGATTGGTTAAGCCCCAGGAGAGGGAGGGGGGCTGATATTGAAATGTTACCTGCCTCCCATCATCCTTCAGGGGAAAATCAGGGTAGGACTGAGTCTTCATGAGAGGCAATAACAGGCCCATCTGGGGCAGAAAGAAGGACAAGGAGGAAATGCAACCTGATTTATCCAACTGAACCCCTTATCACTCTCAGAACTGCTCCAACCTCACCCTACTATCAGCCTCCCTATCTGTGACAATGATGCTTAAGGCAACCCTGGGTCTGTTAACAAAAATAAGTAGTTTTAAGAGCAAAAGACACCTTGTCCTGCTGTTGATTTGTGTGATTGTTTGTCTTCAGCTACTTCCGCACTCCTAAATGCCCTGCAGCCCCTATCTCTTGGAACGCACAGCATCGCCTTCACTGTTACTGACAGTCAGGACAGACAGTGCGAGACACCAGAGAGCCTGACTCTGGAAGTCTGCCAGTGTGACAACAGGGACACCTGTAGAACTCCTAGTGATAATGATCCCATAGATGGAAAGAGATCATCAGTGAGGCTGGGGCCTGCCGCCATCGGCCTGCTACTCCTTGGTCTTTTGCTGTTGCTATGTGAGTATGCCAAAGCTAACTTCTGTTTCTGATGGGGAATCAGCCTTTGTGGGGGCCTTCAGGTTGCATGGGCAATGCTATCTTCGCAATGTACAACCATTCCTTAACTGTGTTATGGGCAAAGGTGGGGGTAACATTTTCAGGAAGAACTGGACATGTTGAAAGTTAATGTGTCTCTTGCCAGCAATCTATTCATAATACAACAAAGCAAGTCATATATATGTTAGACAGTTAGAAAACAGCACAGGAGAATCAACAAGAGAAAAGTTAAAGCATGAACACTTTCTATATACTGCCAGTGATGTTCATCATCAAAATAATGCCTTTACCCATAAAGAAGTCCACAGACATAGAATAGAAAAAGAACCCCTGCCAAATAAATCTAGAGAAAAATGTAGAGGATATATAGCCTTTGAGCTTTATAATGAACATTAATACATCATAGGCTCTGAAAAGTTATTGCTTAATCCAGCACTTTCTGAAAATAGCTGACCACTATATATACACCCTCTTAAAGGCTTTCACTTAATAAGATTAAGCTTATTGAGCACATTAGGGAAACTACACACATGTTGTATTTTTCAATAAAAGTAAAATTTATTCAATGGATAGGTTTCTAAAAGTTTCAATTAAATTAAAATCTTGTGAATCAAATAGTATTTTTAATGTAATAGGTCTCTATTTAAAGGAAATTCATGGCAAATTCTTATATAAATAAGAAAAATCCTTGATAAATTCACATTCATTTCCCAAATTTATTATAGAACTGTAGGCTTTTAGAATTAAAATGATTGTTCATGATAAACAAGTCTACTCCAGCCCCTTCATTTAAATTTTTTTAAAATTTGCGAAATATTTTTAAACCACAAAGTGCACAAAATTACATGACAAGCACACATATAACCATCACTCAGATTTAACAGATCTTAATATTTGCCACATCTTTTCAGATCTCTTTTTATAAAAAAAGAAGTTGATATCCATACATTTAGTGGCCTCCCACACATGCCGTATATTCTTCTTCTGCCTTCCCCAAAAGTGTTTACTATTCTGCAGTTAACATGCATCATTCCATTTCACAGCTTGAAATAGATTCACCTTTCAGTTTTTCAATATCTTATTTTTTTTTTAAGATTTTATTTATTTATTTGAGAGAGAATGAGAGACAGAGAGCATGAGAGGGAGGAGGGTCAGAGGGAGAAGCAGACTCCCTGCTGAGCAGGGAGCCCGATGCGGGACTCGATCCCGGGACTCCAGGATCATGACCTGAGCCGAAGGCAGTCGCTTAACCAACTGAGCCACCCAGGTGCCCTTTCAATATCTTATTAGTCAATTTCAAAACCAAAAGATTTTTCAAGTACATAGATGTGAGTCTTGATGCAAGCAGCCAGCTGGGAAGGGAACCTGGTTCTGGTTTTCATTAGTTCATACATTTTTCAGTCTGCAGAAATGCACTCAACACTTTGAAAAACTTTTTCTGGATACATATATAAAAACCAAATATATATATATATATATATATATTGCAGATAACTATGATAAGCAAGATCTCTAAAAGACAATTTATGCCCACCTAAAAATACTCACCATTCAGGTGTACATTCATCACCTTAAAAACTAATTTGTCAACTAACAATATTCAATTCTTCCCACACACTTAACAAAGTCATAGAATTGAGAATGGCAATGAATAAAAAAAAAAAGCCTGTAGAAGTATCATTTATTTATTATATTAAATTTTAAGAAAATGCATTATGTCCAACCTATTTTATTTATAATATAGGACCAACCTAATTTGCATAACTGATGTAGCCCTTCCAGAAAATACTAGCAAATCCTCAGAGCACTCACTAGGGTCCTTTACTTATACTGCTAACTCAATTAATCCTCACAACTACCTGTGATGTAGATAATATTTATTCTCCCATTCGCTGTATGAGTTACTAGAGGCAAGAAAGATGATAAAACTTACCCAGCTGGTGAGAGGTGGAGCCAAAGTTCAAACCCTACAAGCCCTCACTAAACTACCTCTAGGAGGACAGAATTCAAACATGAGGATTCAATAGACCTTGAGAGGCCAGAGGTGGGGGTGGGGTCACTAACTACTTAGCTTGCCAGAACTTCCTTTCAAGAGAGAGTTTAGTATTTAGCTCTTGGTCCATTAGCATGAGAATGACGTTAATCTAAAGATTGCTGAGATGTGACGGATATGCACAGAAAGAATGAAAATTACCCTGACAGGAAAGGCCCTCCAAGCTAGGGATTCTTAAGTCACAATTAAGAGTGCAATGGTATTAGCTCATCACTCTAGTTGCTGAGGGAGTTTGCTGGTTAATTGCTATTTACTAAGAGATGAGTAGAGTCCAGATTACAGAAACATTATCCTGCCCACCTAAAATCCTGACCATCCAGGTGTGTATTCACCTGACATAACATACATTGCCTCAAAATGGACAAATAAATGCAATAAATATATATATATTTATTTATATATATAATATATATTACAGAAAAGGATTGAGGACCTGAACAACTGCACAACCATCTTTATCATTCATCAAACTGACTATTTCAAGAAAATATACATATCACAAGAATGATCCAATCAGTCTCCTCCAGTTTCATAATTGTATGAAATTTTAGGATGCTTAGTTTACATTTTATTTTGTAGAAACTAATTTTGCTTTCTATTAGATTTTCCTGAGTCCTGAAAATACTGTATTTTCTTCCTAATGTTTCAGACAATTGTCATGTCTCGTTGTTTCCAAATGATTCAAATGTTCCGATATTTTATTTTCCTTTATAACTAGTGGCCCCCCTTTTCCTGCTGACCTGTGACTGCGGGGTGGGTCCTATCGGGGGAGTGACAGGAGGATTTATGCCAGTTCCTGATGGTTCAGAAGGAACAATTCATCAGTGGGGAATCGAAGGAGCCCATCCTGAAGACAAGGTGAGGACCCAGTTTCTAAAACATTTATTTCAATCATATAGAGCAAAATTAGATTTATATTCAGATAGGAAATGGGGTAATGGGGTATAAAAATAAGACACTCCTTGACCTTTAAAGACCTTTGTGAGTCAGTACTGAAATAAATGGAGCCTTTTAGAATCATAGCTCTTCAGATGTCTAATCATAAAAATGGTTACTCCTGCAAGAATTTGGCCTTCTCCTAAAGTCACCTTTTGCAAAGAGCCACATTTCACCCATAGTACCATGAAATCTGGTTCATTTTGAAATATATTTATTTTTTGAACACGGTTTGCAGGAAATCACAAATATTCGCGTGCCACCTACCACTGCCAATGAAGCCGATTTCATGGAAAATTCTGGTAAGTGAACATCAAATGGATTTTTGAAAGCAATACTGGGTTAAATAAGAAATACTGAAAAATAATAAGTGTTCTAAATCATTCTCTTAATAATTGGCATATATGTACACATGCTGGGAGATGTTCCCACTGAAATAGGGTTTCAATGAAATGATTTACTATTAGTATATTAGTCAATTCCGGGGCCAAGCTTGGGTTTCTGTAAGTTCATTGAAATTCATTGCCCACTGATGCCACCATTTTTAATATCCAAAGATTTGTTATACATTTTCCAAACTTTAATAAACTGAAGTATATAGCTCTCAGTCAATTACTAATTTTTTAATTAGAAAAGATATCACACATGTAGAAAAATGTAAAGGAAGATATTCCAAATACTATGTACCTACCACTCAACTTTATTCTTAACTTTGGTAATATTTGCAGTTAAACCTCCTGTGTGCACATCCTCTATCCTACTGCCCTTCTTCCTTCCCCAGAACTAACAATACCCTAATTTGAGTTCAATTACCAATTTTAATTCAGTCATAATGGGACAAGGTTGTTTATGTTCTCATATAGGTGAAATTATTTCTTTGGTTTGCCAAAGGACTGTTTTATTCATATTGTCTCAGTGCCACAATTAAGGCATAAACTAGAGAAACAATAAGACCTAATGCCTAATATTAAAATTTATATTAATTCCATACTTAGCAATAGATTGTTTTTAAATGTCTAGCCTGCAAAATCTGCATGAGATCACCCCAAAATGTCTGCCTTTATCAGCTACCCCATCCTCACCTGCTTTTCCCATTATAATTACATAGCAAAAACTATATTCAGAATTCTCTAGAAAAAAATTAACTTTCCATGAAAGTGTAATGTAAAGGTAATAGGGAGAATAGTCATAACTCTTTAAATTTTCTTCAGGCACCAAGACACTAAATTAGCATCTGCTAATTTGCATGATTACATTATGTATGTTTCCTCTTTGATTTCCATATTGAAAGCAATATGATAGCTTAATTTTAATTTCTTTTTTCCTGAAAACAAATAAGCATTGCACTAGAAGCTTTCCGCGGCTGTGTGCTGAATATTCTGTTTCTACTTTTCTATTTCTGGCTGTTGTCACTGAAAATCTATTTCCTGTGTATATTTTTTAATTTGTATGTTTCCAGAGCTGTTCCATCTGCTAAGACCCTCTGTTACAGCCTCATCTGCTCTGTTACTCTCTCATTAACAGACCAGAGGATGTTCTTATTATCCCCAGTCATATAACTGTAATTTCTCCCACTTATTTGCTTTACTTGGTGTTTACCTATCGATATCAAAAAACAGTAAAAAAAAAAAAAAATTACAGCATAAGATGCTACAGAATTTTCTCCCCTGTTGTTAGAAGTTTGTACAAATACCTATGCTGGAGGGACAGTGGTGGAAGGAGCCTCGGGAATGGAACTGACCACCAAGCTTGCAGCAGCCACTGGACTTGGCATTGGTTCTGCAGGACAGTCTGGCACGATGAGAACAAGGCATTCCACCGGAGGAACCATTAAAGACTATGGTGAAGGAGCAGTAAGCATGAATTTCCTGGACTCCTATTTTTCTCAGGTAATTTGGTGGAAAGCTCTGTGGCTTTGTTATCTTATGTACATCAGAGATCTTTTTACTTGACTTTACTTCAGTTTTGCAATTCATTGTTGTTGCTGTACTTACAGCTTGTTAAAATGTAAGAAAAAAATAGGGTTCTTTGCCGAAATAATGCAGATAACCTAAGATGGCTGCCAAAATTGGGCTACTAGTCAAAAGGAAAAATGGTAGGTAGACACAAAGGGAGATAATACAGCAAGTGGAACCTCTTCCTTCTGACTGAAATAACAATGGAAAGCAAAATCTTTTGCGTGTCAGGATCAGCAGCATCCTCTTTAGAAATACAAAGCAGCTTATTTTGTGTTTCCTACACCATAAAGTATGTCAAATGTGCATGTTTTTCTGAGACAGGCTTATAGTACTCTTCACATTTTCAAAGGAGTCCATGCCCAAAATGCTGAAGAACCATTTAATTAATTACCCAAAAATAAAAGTGGGGAAAAAAGGGATGTGATCAAAGATCAGATGAAGTGTCAGGAAGCAGAGAACTGAAAGGAACAAGGGTTTAAGAACAGAGAAGACTTTAAGAGGCAGGTCTTGCCTCTTGGTTGGTGCATCATTAGAACAGATTTCATACAGAGTTTTGGTGTGAGAGCTGGTAAGTTCCAGGATCGGACCTGTTGCTGAGAAGGTGGAGCCTCACACTGATTGGCAGGGAGAGCCTGTTTGGGATGAGGACTCTTGGGATATTCTGAGGTGTGGTGTGGGCCTTAGTTATGGGTCAGGCTCCCGCATGGGTTGGGGAGTCTAGGCAAAGACCCCAGACTGGCTGAGAGCTGGCTTAGATGGTGCAAGTGGGATGCCTGCCCCCCACCCACAAACACAAAGACAAGCACACACAGGGACCCCCACACTTGGCCCAGTGAGTAACCTTCCAAGCTTTGAACACATTGGTTTTGTAGGTCTAAATCCATGTAAGTGCCCTCAAAACCCATACTTAAAATGTGAGCCTAGGCCGGACTCAGTTTTGAAGGAATGTCAACCACACAACCAAACACCCAATAATTTCTGTAACAAGATTATTGATATACAGAGTATGCCTTTACTTCTATGGATTACCTAAATTATGCATTCATGATCAGTCCTCGAGTTCTATGAACAGTATTGTATTCTTCAACTGAGACTCTTCTAAATTCATTTTTTCCACTTTTCTCCATCTTTAGAAAGCATTTGCCTGTGCAGAGGAAGACAATGCCCAGGAAGCAAATGACTGCTTGCTGATCTATGATAACGAAGGAATGGGTGCTCCCAGTTCTCCCGTGGGCTCCTTGGGTTGTTGCAGTTTTATTGCCGATGAGCTGGATGACAGCTTCTTGGACTCACTCGGCCCCAAATTTAAAAAACTTGCAGAGATAAGCCTCAGGATCGATGATGAAGCCAAACAATCTCAGCTGCCTTCCAAAGACAGCCATTTTGGGATTGAATCCTGTGGCTACTCCCTAGGAGTCCAACAGCCAGAATCTGTTAGGGGCCAGACTTTGTCAGGCAGTCAAGGAACTTCTGCTTTGTCTGCTTCCGGCTCTGTTCTCCAACCAGCCATTTCCATCCCTGACACTTTGCAGCATGGTAGTTATTTGGTAACAGAGACTTACTCGGCCTCTGGTTCTCTCGTGCAACCTCCCGCTACAGTCTCTGAGCCACTTCTCACGCAAAATGTAACAGTGACAGAGAGGGTGATTTGTCCCATTTCCAATGCTCCTGGCAACCTACAAACTCCGATGGAGCTACGGGGGTCACATAATAGGATCTGTACAGAAGATCCTTGTTCCCGTCTAATATGACCAGAATGAACTGGAATAATATATTGGTTGAATATAATTATTTAGACCAAATTGTTAAAAGGAGCATAAAAAAGCTCACAGTGCTTGTCTAATTGGGCACTTATTTAGTACTCTCCTAAACTGAGCTTGATTCTTTTAATTTTCTAGTTGATATCCCCAAACTGGATATGCTGTCACTCTCACTTCTCAAATACCATTCAAGTGGTAGTAAATCTTGATGTTTTTTAAAAAAAAAAAATCTTAAGATCATATCCAGTGGGAAATTTTCAATTAATAATTAACAACTTTAAAACTTCTGTTTTTGCAGTACCAAAGAAAGGTATTTATCACTTTAAATAAAATGCAGCATGTTTTAGTGGATTAAGCACTTGTAGTCAAGAGCCCCAGTTCTTGTCCCTGTCACCTTTTCTTATGTCACTGATAATAATGTAAAAGTCATAGGTCTTTGCTAAAGCATTTTGAGCTGCTTAGAAAAAGGAAGTAGTTGCAGCTGAGTTTTTGCCATCTTCTTGGTGTTGGGAGACCCTAAGTGCATCTTTTGCACAAGTTAAGGGCTATTGGCTTACGCATTAAACTTGCTATATCTATATTCCTCAATTCTCAAAATAAGACAGTTTGGTAAGAAAATATCGTAGAACATTTAGGAAAGTTTAGTATGGTGTAAATAATATTTTGTGTTTTTCTAAATTACTTTGAAAGGATCTATCCAAAGAAAATATCTTACACTGAGCTCCTTCCTACACACTTCTCAGTACAAAACCTGTGTTAAATCGTTCTCAAAAATTACTCTCTATTTTTTAAATGTCAGTGGGTAGATGTAACTTGCATATGACATATAGTGATGTTTATTATGCTAACAATGTCTACAGACTTTGTGAGAATACAAAACCTGGTTTTTCTCATAAGAAAAAGATGCCTCTGACTAGATTAACATATGGTGACATTTTTGAATATGTATTATAAGCCCCATTTCAAGTCAAAAAGGGAGATGGAAAGGGATTATCAGTAACCTCTATTATTTTATTAAGCCTCACTCCTTTGAAATAGCTACAGCAACTTAATTCTCTAGCATAACAATGAAGATTCCAAATTTATTACTTCATGCATGTTGCCCTAATAGCAACGCAGTTCTTCAAATCATCTGTGGTCATTCATTCCAGACCTTCAGCCTTTAGCCCCTAGGGAACACCTTCTTATCAACATTCTTGTCTTAGCTCAGTCTTTACAAGGTCATTGTCCAACTCCATTATCTCTAATTGTATGTAAAATACTCCTCTCTGTTTTGTTTTGTTTTGTTTTGTTTTGTTGCCATATTCAAAACCTATTTGTTTTTCCAGATGGAATGCAAAGTAATAAAGTATGTTTTAACACAGAAGGATAAAAGTCCTAAGGATCCCGGGGTGGGGTGGGGGAAGACACCTCCTAAATGTCCCTACATCTAACATCCTTCCCTCTCCCTGGCGCCATGACTACCAGGAAGGTATGTACTAGGATGGCCAAGAAGTGCAGGCAATCTGTTCTTTCAAGACAAGCCCACTGTTTCAACAACACCTGCAGTGTGCCCAGCTTGAGGTGAGGGGAATTAGACCCCAGGAAACAGCTACCAGGTCCTGAGGAAGTTGTCTTGCTATTACCACTGAGACCTCTCCTTAGTGGAAGCTTGTTCTGGGGTCTGGATCACACATGGTTGATTTGTGTCTCTATGATGCATGAGAATTACATTAATAATCATAATAATCCTTATTTCAAGTTCAAAAGTGTTTTCAGGATCCTCAAAGTATTTTGGTGTTGACTCTTAAAACCCAACTTATCATGAAATGGGAATTTTCTGCCTTGCCAAACTACAGAGGAAACTATGTCATCGCAGTGAAGGCTCTGTAAGGGAAAAATTGAAATTAAATGTGTTTTAAAATGAAAATAGATTCATCTTGTCTAGGAGGACCTCAAATTGATTTGCCATGTAAAAGTAAATTCAAAGCAAAAATGTATCTGTATTTTTTCACCAAAACTAAAAATTGTTTTAAGCAAAAAAAAAAAGTTTAAAACTGTCTTTTTACTGGATGTATTATAAATTTTAAACAGTATACACTAAAACTTTAACAGTGTAACACTGTTGTAATAAAACTGTTTGGCAACAAACTTATGAGTACTTCCTTAACCATTTAGTAAAAGGTGAACTACTCTCTATAATTAATAGTTACTAAGAAATATAAGGTAGGAAACTGACTTACATATGTATTTTTATCAGTATTTTACATTTTTTTCCAGCCGATACCCTTTGTCCATCCTCCCAGAAAGGAAAGAAATACCTGGGGACTCCAGATCTCTTCTTCAGGTGGAATAGTGCTGGATGAGGTGCTAGATGAGGTGAGGGCAGACTTTTATTAACTAGATGCTTTAACTTGTTTATTATTTGTTTGGTAGTTTGGAACGATCTTTCAGGCAAAAGTTCTGACATGCTATGATGACTCAGAGAGCAAAGTTGGAGTAAAGAGAAGGTAAGGTTGCTAGCCTAACACGACGAAAAATGTACCATGGCTCTGGTAACAGTTATGAGCCCTAGCCTGGGTCTGTCTCCCAGTAAATGTCTTTTTTTTTTTTTTTTTTTATGTCTTCCTTTAAAGGGATGCCACAAAAAGTCCCTTTGGAACTTCAGATCTTGCCTTGGTTGACCTTCCTCATTCTTTAATCTGTACAATTCAACTTGGATCTGCTGTATGAGGAGCAGAAACTGGATTAGAGTGGATGTTGAGTGAAGAAAAGTGGGAGGCTTGACTCTGATGTTCCAAATCAATTCCAGGAAATATGAAGCCCCTGTAGGTAAATTCCAAAAATATCACCTGATCCTCCAATTTATAGAAAGTTTGAAGAATAAAAACAGCAAGATCAATGTACCCTAACTTTCAAAAATCAAGGAAGAGTGTGAAAAAAACACACTCAACTGACAAGCTTCAATGCAACTAACAATTAAGAAGCATGTAAACGTTAAGGATTTTCCCTTCTTGTTATTGGCAATTCAGCTTTTTCTGTACTCCTTTACTGGGTCTACAAAAAGTAACTCTGAATCAGAGATTATATGGTTTAATATTTGTTGGACAGCACAGTCTGAGATCATTATTAAGTAAGGGGGATAATTGATAAAGAAAAGAAGATAATGGATTTCCAGGTGCCAGAAGCAACACGTTTTCCACAGTGAATACTGAGATTCCTTCTGCTCTACCTGATCCCTCCGTGACAAAGACATGGGCCCTTCAAGGTTGGTGCCTTTACTTTCTTTTTCTTTTATACATAGACTTTCTTTTTAACAAATGCAAAACAGAAAAATCTAAATACAATGGACATACAATTAAAACTCAAGAAAATGATGGTCTAAAAGAACAAGTGCAAATGGATACAGTTACCAGAGCAGGAAGAAACTAGACACTGGTAAAGCCCTACCAGGGGCCAAGACAGTTCATTACATATTCTAATTTAATTCTTACAGTAACCCTGATTATAGTCAGGAAAACAGAGACCCAAGACGCAAATTACTTCCTCAAGGTCATTCAGTAAAGTGACACAAATGTAAAGGTTTATCTATAGGTATTCAGTAATAATAATACATATTATTACTCTGTCAAAATAATCTGCCTGCTTTCAGCTCCAAGACTTGAGTAGAGCATGAAAAATTGGAAGGAATACAAAGAAAACAATGAGAATAATTTTTAAAAGACTAGAAATCTAGATATAATTCTAAAGATTAAGGAAGCAGTACATTGTAGGCAAATATATCTATTTGGGCATAGAGGACAGGGCAATCTAAATATTTCTATATATATCTAAGATTAGGAGGTAGAGACAGATAAAAAGGTAGAGACAGAGGAATAGATAGAAAGAATGCAAATACATGATTTGCTGCTATTTTGAAGTATATGTGAGGTTATTTCTCAGGGCACAATGGCATCTCTTCCACATTTTTTTTTTTAAAGATTTTATTTATTTATTTGAGAGAGAGAGAATGAGAGAGAGCACATGAGAGGGGGGAGGGTCAGAGGGAGAAGCAGACTCCCTGCTGAGCAAGGAGCCCAATGTGGGACTCGATTCTGGGACTCCAGGATCATGACCTGAGCCGAAGGCAGTCGCTTAACCAACTGAGCCACCCAGGCGCCCTCTTCCACATTTAATAAGAAAAACAAACTACCCGAAAGTCATGGAATCTCTTTTCTGGTAAACTCCTTAAGGATTACTTTATAGCACACTATTTAAAAGAAGTTATGTGTGACATGTAGCTAGATATAAAAATAACTTTATATAGAGAGATTTTGATTCAATATTAATATATATTGTGAAATGATCACCACAGTAAGTCTAGGTAACATCCGTCACCATAGATAGTTACAAAAAAAATTTTTTTCTTGTGATAAGGACTTGTAATATCTACCCTTTCCGCAACTTTCAAATATGCAATTCAGTATTATTAACTATAGTGACCGTGTTGTACGTTATATCCCCATGACTTATTTATAACTGTAAGTTTGTACCTTTTGACCCCTTTCACCCATTTTCCCCAGCTCCCATGCCCCACCTTTGGCAATCACTAGTCTGTTCTCTGTATCTAAGATCCTGATTTTTGTTTTATTCCGTTTCATATTTTTTAAATGATAACTTTAAATGGGTCCTTCCACCTCAGTGTTTCCATGATTTGTGGAAAACAACACATTTGAACAACTACAACTATTTTACTCCTCAACACTATCTCCCTCTCCACTTTTATTCCATAAAGTGCCATCATATTTTTAAATTTATGCCTTGGAACATCTCTGATGTTTTCTGTGTGCTGAATTTGTCCTTATTAAATTAGCAAACAGTAAAAGTTGTGTGAAAACACAGAGCGGCAAATTCTAATATAAGCAAACACTGAGATTGAAAGAATATGTATGTCCTCATTTCTTCAGAAGGCAGAGGAAGTATTTATATTCTTTCATAACCAAGAGAGGATTGCAAAGAACTCTCTTAATTAT